AACACATATATATATATGTGTGTGGGGGGGGCGCCGCCCCCCCCTCGCGCACACATATATATATAAAACAGAGAGAGCGCGTGAGAGAGAGAGAGAGAGTGATTTTTATGTGTGTCACACACACACATATATCTCTCTCTCTCTCGCGCGCTCTCTCTTTAAAATAAAAACACTCTGTGTGTACACATACACATATATCTCTTTTTTATATGTGGGTTCACTCTCTGAGAGGGAGGGCTGTGTGTGTGTATATATACACACACACACACACACACACACACACACACACACACACCACTCCATTGGTCCCAAGTTCAGAGCTCCTGCCTTAACTTGTGTGTGTTTGTGTGTGTGTGTGCATCTTGTGGTATTTTGGTTTGTTGACATAGCCTAGCAGGCAGCCTTCTCATTGAGAGGCTTTACTCCTAAATGAAATATTGCCTTGTGTGGACAGGTACAGACGGTGTATTGATTGAGGAAAGCTAAGGCTTGTTATTGATAGAGGCTTATTTGTGTGTGGCAGACACATATTATACTCACTCTTTTCCCCTTGCTAAGAGGCTCTCATTGCATTATAAGCATTTGGGCCACCGAGGAGGCTGACCACAGCCTCCAGATCCAGATAGGCTTCTGGGATCTGAATGTTCCTGTGAAATGGCCGAGAAGAGAGAGTTATATGAAACAAGAGAGCTGCTTGTTCATTCACTCATACCCAAATGCCCCTTGGTTTTTTCTTCCCTCTCAATCATCTGTCTCTCTAACATAATGTCAGATTATCTAAATCTACTGGGAGATAACCCATGTCCATCACACACCTATTGATCGAACGGGTGGCAAGACACGGTCCATCTCCATAGCTCATGTATTGATTAAGCTTCATTAAAACAAAGAGTTTCTTCCCATCAATTGGATTAATACTCTTTCCTGGCCCTGTGCCAAACAACTGTTCTGTATCCACTGTTCTACTACGGATGGACATGTGTACTTGGTGATGGTTTCCAGCCTACTACATCATACTGCCAACGGTCTTCTTTTTGTTGTTTAACTCATCAAATTGAAAATAGTAGGCGGCAGCCAACATAGATAACCTGTCTTAGTGTTGCGGAAGAGCTGCTTGAAAGCAGAAAGATAATTACAGTTATCAAGTGAGTTGCCTCCATCTCCCACAGATGTTTTGATGAAGTACAGAGGTCCTGAGAATATGTTAAAGCAACACCTACACTGACAATTAGCCCACAACGTCATTTGTATTCCACTATGAGCGTCAAAGGCCCCGAGTTAATCCAGATACGGAACAACGGTTTCTTTTTTACGACCTTTAAGCAAATAAAGTGTTTAATGCCTTGTGGAAAAAACTGAAAATATTTTCCGTGGGGTCAAATGAGCTTTAGACGCAGATGTGTTTCAGGGTGTGTTTGTGTGTTTTGCTTGTTAACTTTGATATTTAGACCAGACAGACGGGGCTGGAGATTTAGAGCAGCTTTGCTCCGTGTGAGAGGCTTCAATTAGTCTGGAAAAACACAGACCCACGTACACACATAACACATACCTGTCCAAGCACCCGCATTCATGCGTACGGAAAGAAAAAAAAACAATTGGAAAAAATTCCAAACAGAGACACACACACACACGCGCATACACACAACTTCACCAGCCAAACACTGACTGAGACAAAACACAGTGGACCAAGGAGAGCAAAGAGAGAGACAATTATACAACGTATTTCTTTTTGTAATTCATTTTTTATGTTTCAATATTTTTAATGTATTTATTTAATGAAAAGATGTGGTGCGTGTCACACTTCTAAAATCATTTAAAGTACTCCCTTGACCATGGATATTTTTCTATTCACGTCTAGCAGCCTTTACACACCAGAAAAGGTGCATTTAACATTTGGCCATAAAATGATGGTAAACCAATTCATGGATTAATCTTGTATTTTTACAAAAATGACCACTGTTTTATATTTTCTGTATTAATTGCCAAAGATGTTTTATAGATGATTGATCAGTAATCCCACACAACATCAGGCCTGAGGAAAGAAGGGAGAGGAATTGTGTGCGTGTGCGTTTCTATGTGTGCACTTGTTTTTGTATGTCCTTTATGTGTGTGCCCTGTGTGTGTGTCGCTCTCTCTACACATCTTCCCCCAGGCTTGAATTTTCTATAAATATTCATCGTCATGATTTGTTCAACATGCCGATCATTTCTTCTCCTCTCCTCTCGATTTTACTCTCATTCAATCCTCCAGACATCAGTCTAAATCTTTCTGCTTCTCTCCTTTCAGGATCCCTCCTTCTCTCTCCTCCTTCACGATAAGCTTCAGGTGCCCAACAGTTCCTGGCGGGCGTGGAACGAGCGCGACAGTCGCTGTGACGTCTGCGCCACCCACCTCACGCAGCTCAAACAGGAAGCCGTGCGATTGGTCCTTACTCTCGACCAGTGGGATTTGTCTCCCCCGTCTTCGCCTCCATCCCACATTGAACGGTATGGATCTCAAGGACCTCCGGGGTCCTATGGGAGCATCTGGAGTACCAGGAGGTCCTGGTTCACGGGAGTGGATCCCTGCTTTTCTTCCTTCCTCCTCCTCTTCAGCTGTTGCACACTCGTCCTCCCAGTCCCCTTCCCCGAGTCCCAGCCAGACCCCAACGCCCAGCCCGAGCCACGGACCATCCAACCCCGGCCATGGGAGTCCCTCGGTTGGACAAACGTCCAACTGTGCTACCACAAACCCACCACCTCATGGCCCTGGGCACAGATCGGGGTCCAAGCCCAGTTCTCTGGGGCTTGGAGGTGGGGTGGACAGAAGGAACGGGTCCCCCGGTCCGGGAAAAGCTGTTGCCCAGCCAGTCACTGGAGTAAACAGCCATGGCAATAATAGTGGTAATAACGGAAGTGGAGCAGTACTGAGTACAACAGCTCTGCAGGCTCATCAGCACCTGAACCGATCTAATGGAGGAGTTACACTCTACCCGTACCAGGTAAGCTACCTGTAGAAGTGTGTGTGTGTGGGGTAAATGCTCTAACTGAAAATATTTCCTTTGTAGCTTAAAACCTAAATTTCATTAAGTCTCTTAAAGTTTGTTTTCCCCCAAACAAGCTCCCCGTCAGGAGTAATTAACTTAGAATTCTTGGATTCGATAACCATCTGGTATCGAGGGGGGAGCTATATATGTCCTATGCAAAAAGGTAGGACGTAAGGTATTGAGTTAAGTGGCGCACTAGTGAGTCGAATTGAAAACGGAGATAAAACAAGAGTGTTCTGGAGATAACAGGAAGAAGGATGATGAGTAGAGAGGAAGATGGCAGGAGGGAGAAAAGCCTCAGGTGATGTGTGGTCTCGAGGTGTATGGAGGGAGGCAGGAGAGCTGAGATGGCGAGGGAGATCCAGAGGTGTGAGAGGGTGTGTGTGTGTGTGCGTTAACATGTGTGCATGAACATGCTCTACCGATGTAATAATTCATACAGTGATAATTAGAACTCCAGGGACTCTGTGTCACACACCCCCAGCACCCCTTCACTCTCTCACTCTCATTCACTCTGCACAACGTATTCCTTATGCCTCTTTCTTTCTCTATTTCTACTGCCGTCTTTCTCACACCTCACCCCCTCCATACTGTTTCTCTATCCCACTTATTATTTTTATTCAGTGCAGGACTTGAGTCAGATGCAGAGATATGGAGACGTACTGTAGGTGGAAATTACTTTGCACAATTTTTTGAATGGTTTCGTTAGCTTTTCCTAGTGGTCAGGAATAAATTAAGCAGAAAATCTCTTATGTATTCTTATCTTTTGTAGCACTGACAGTAGTACAGATAAGGTCACATGGTTTAGATGCCTTAATAAAGTTAGATTAAAAAAAGTTTTACTCAGCATGCATTTGTTTTGTGGTGTGTACAAAACAACAACATACAGTATGTTTTAGAATCTATTAGAAGGTGAGTCTGTTTTTCCTGTGTTAATACAACTTGTGTGCAAGGATCTGTGTGACTAAGATTGTGGTCAAATTTAGAAAAAGACACAGGACCTAATTTGGGCCTGAGTGTGTTCGTACATTTAGTCCTGTACTCATATTTCGGTGTTCTGTATCTGAGTTAGTAGCTGTGTTGGGAGGTTAAAAAGGTTTGTTTTTTCTATGACTTGGACAGTAATGGTGTTTCACCAGGAAAGAAGAAACTGAGGACGAATATAAATCACCCCTGTTTAGACTCACCCATGAGAGAGGAAGAGAAGGGGGAGGAGCTAAATAGATAAATGATAAAACAATGGTTATGGAAGCAGAGACACACATAGAAAGGATGGAGATAAGTTTAGAGAGATGTGTTTAGAATAAGAGAGACTAAGAATAAGATGCCTTTTAAGACATGACCGGCAAACCGCTACACTGCATTTCCTTTTTCTTGTTGTACAGCACAACACATGTTGGAGCCTCGGTGGAGCTTTCAGAAGGGTTTCTAATGGCAGACAACCAATCCCTCCCAACATATTCACACTCTTCAGCAAAGCAAAAGAGAAAACAAACGTGAAAGTACTGGAGGGGAAATTAGTCAAATTTAAGTTCAAACTCTGCCTCCAGAATTAGGTTTATTTTTTGAGGAAAATGTGGTCTTAATCTTCAGAATTACTAACAACAGCAACACTGGTATGGTCTTATTTATTGTGATCAAAAGTCACAAGAGAGCACAAAGAGGGAAGGATGCAGAGGTAAGAAGAGAGAAGCAACCTGCCGGCCCGTGTAGCTGACATTAAGATCTCGCTGTGTCAGCAATATAAGAGGTGACAACCTCCACATTTTATATTTATTAGGATTTTTCTTTTCGGTCAAACAAATGGAAAATGCTGAATCAGTCAGAACAAGGAAGACTGATCATGACCGATATGAATCTGCCAGGCAGCTTACTGGCATCCGTGAGCCGACGAGGCAACACATACTCTCAGATGGATTTCAATTGTTTAAAAAAAAATCTTGTTAAATGTTCTCGCTTGATACAGATTGATGTGCACATTTTCTTCTGCTTTTAACCGTTTGTCTTTTGGCATTTAGTCTGTTGCCTTGAGGCCGTTTCCAAGTAGATTATACTGTCCATATGTTTTTTGAGCCCATAGTTGTTTTTCCACAGCAGCCTCTGTCTCCCCTCTTTCTACCTACAGCACATCTAGCATTTCTTCCTAGCGTGTCCTCTTTGCTCATCTCACATAGACTGTTTTCTGTAATTCTATCTTGGATATGGTCTAAATAAACATTCTGTTCCATTCCCTCACCAACTTCTCGTTTTTTGTCTTCACCTAGTTTCTCTACTTTCATCTGCAAAGGGCAGCGTCTCTCTCCGCTTGTCTCTCTCTCTCTCCAATGTGCAGCAGTAAGCGTTTAGATTGTTTTACAGATTATGTCTATCCCCCTGATAGAAGTAGGCAGGACCAGACACACACAAACACTGCATTTCTCATTTCATTCTCTCAGACGAGTTTTCAGGCAGACATTCTACGCTTGTTTTCTGTTGCATATTGTTGGAAAAGGATATACAATAGAATCAATATAAGAGTGACAGATGAGGAAGATGAGCACCGTGGGCTTTGTGTTATAATGAAGAAAAATCAGCCTCTTTGTAATTTTGTGTAGAGAATACTGATTGGTGAGTGACAAATAAATGTTTCCTTTCTAGGGACATTTAGTCCTTAAAGCCTTCTCGACAATCCCAGGACCAAGTGCATAAAAAACATGGTCAAATGTAGAATTTTCATTGAATTGTTGCATGATGTTGAGCACGTTTGGCCGCGTTATATGCAGCACTCTCTCTGTCCTGGTATTATCTATATCCTTGTCTCTCCTGCTGTGATGACCTAATATCCCCATAGGGATCATTAACGTTTCATCCACTGTAATTTGATCTAATTTATGGTGAAATCTAGAGAGAGCAACTCTGTGCCTGTCTGTCCTGTCTGGAAAATCTGAATGGAACAAGTGTAACGACATCATTAGAACCATCAAGAACAACAAATTTATTTCAAAGACTAGATTACTTAAAATGCCATTCATGGCATTGCATTCGGGTACGAGGAGACGAGGCTGGAATGGGGTCTATCACACTACATCTTGTGTCTTGGTGCAGCATTTGAGACGCAGAACTCATTCGATAGCTTTCTAATTATAGCTGTTTTAATGAGACACATGAAGCATAACTGCTTTTGGAAACAAAGGTGCTTCAGACACAAAGTACACATGAGTGTTGTGGTTATTGCGTTTTCAGGGTGACAACGGGAGGCACAGCTGAGTAAAACAATGGGTCAGTCCTGTCTGAACTGCTGACTCCCACATATTTTTCAGCCACCTTTACTCCAGCTCGCATTATAACGGCCCTCTGTGGGAACATTTCCCCCATTCCATACTGGTAGTTTTCCTCTTCCCATTTATCAGGATAAATGGGTTGCCAGTACCAATGCACAGGTATTCCATGTTGTTCACCGAGCCCTTATTTCATACAGTCATGGCTCCTTTAATAATGCAGGTGTAGCAAGATAAGACTGAGCATTTCAAATACCTTGCAGGTGCACAGGGAGAATGGTGTATAAACTATAGAGGCTTCTCATTTACAATGGGTAATTTATCAAGACAGTGGGCAGCGTGCCTGGACCCCAGGAGCCCTCGGCATTAACTACACGCACAGCCGTGCTGATTTATACACGCATGCACATAAGTGTAGAGAAGTGCAGGCACACACACACACACAATGACATGCAGAGACTTGCTAACAATAGACATACATGCTCTCAGATTTACACACACACAACAAGCTGTCGTTCCTTTAATAGAGTGTACAGTAATGATTTAGGGGCTCTACTGTCTGCTTGCTGGCAGCACATAAAGAACTATAATCAATAATCCATATCTACTTCACGAGTGGGTCGCCTACAGGCGCTAACACGCATGCCTTTGCACTCAACACACACACACACATCTGTGCACACAATGATAAACCAGTGCAACACGCACACTCATACAAAGCAGTCGAGTGTAAATAAATGTGTGTGTCATAAGTTTCGTATCAGAAGATGCAGATGATTTTAAGAATTTGAACAGATATCTAGACACAGAGACACGGTGCAGATAGAGGTGTCCAGTGACCTGGTGGTGGAGACCCATTGGATACAATCACACTTCATGCGGTATACATTCCCAGCACACCGTTGATCTGATGATACAGTAACCAACAAAGGCACAGCAAATCTCATCACTTCACGGTGTTATGAGTTAAAAGTTATCTCCCTTCGTCCCCGCTGTCCTTCTTCCTCGAATTGTGTCTGATAAAGGACAAAATGGCCCAAAGGATGATCCAATAATAACAAATCAGAGTAGCTTAAGGGGGCAGAGTGAAGGGACAGAGAAAATGAAATTGAATGAGCAAATGATTAAAAAAATAAAGAGTGGAGAGAAGAAGAGAAGTAAGGGTGGGAGGCGTTCGGTCAAATGAGAACCTCGGAGGGAAGATGTGTTTGTTTTGTGGGACCCAGATTACATTCAGAAAGATTAATTGACAGTTGTTAACATGTCAGTACTTCTAAAGCTATAAATCCTTTAGAATTCACAAATGTGTGGTTATTTACTGTAGTATACTGTGGTGTGTGTTTCTTTCTTTCATTTAGTGGAACAACAGTAAACAGGAGTAAACCTTTTTAATCTCTCTCCATCTCTTGTCAGATATCTCAGATGATCTCTGAGGACTCCAGAGAAGGTTTGACCGAGGCAGCCCTCAACCGCTACAACACGCACTCTCCTGCACACAATAGTTCAACGTCGCACACAAACTCGCCCTCTCACACGCCAGCTGTGACCACAATCGCGCCAAGCACCACATCTGCTGCCGCTTCCTTCTTTGCCAGGTAAGATGTATCCAGATCCACGCACCGTACACAAGACTGACAACACCTAATGGTCAGGAGGTGTATGATATTCTGTACAGTCTAAACTGTCAACCATTAACTCTACAATGTGAGGGAACTGAACAAAACTGGACTTGTTTAGAGAATCATTACACTGATTATGCTATACTTTCATTTTGACTTTTGCCCAATCTGTTTGCTTGCCAAGGACGTTGCACATACAAGGAATGGTTCAAACAATAAACAATGAAAAGACAAACATGTGCACAGTGCGTTGACTGGAGAAGATCCAGTCAATGGTCATTGATGACCCGTGTCATCGAATCTCAGGAAATGTGAGTGACAACATAAATGAGACACAAGCAATCTGGGTAAATTACTGATGAATAAACATGGCAAGCTCAAAATGAATGACTAAATTATTCATAGTTAACACAAGACAAGGAGTGAGTGTGTCATGGGGTCTGAAGTATTGCTCAGACGTGTGTGTCTAATGAGCTGCTTTAAATCACATTCTGAATGATACCTTTGGTTTTCCTCCTCACTTTCACACGTACTGCCCTCCACTCGTCTTCCTGTTGGTGGTTTTTGATTTTTTTATTGTGTCGGTTTTCTGAATCTGTAGCTAATTCGGTCTGTGTTTGATTTATGAGTAATAGCTTTGTTTTGTACGACTCCCTGAACCTTCAGGTAACAAGACCAATTCACTCTCACACACATACGCACACACATACATACTCACACCTACACGCACACATCTGGTCGCATTCCCAACATACAGCCAGCTGTCTTTTTGCTGATTTATGAGCATTATCTAGTGAAAATGAAAGAAGAGGGTTTGTTACAGGTGTCACTGTCTGTGTGTGTGTGTGTCTGTCAGGCTTTCTCTCCTCAGGCTGTAAATCCTCAATTTTGTAATATGTAATTTAGCCTGAAAGTGAGTGTCAGTAAGTTGGTTTTGTTTGCTTTTCAAAACTTTACATTCACAAATACACGGTTTTAGGTTCAATTTTTTTCACATGTGCATGTGCGTGTAGTGGGAATTCCCTTTAATTGGCAAATGGCAGCAAAATGCACTTTGCCACTGCGTGTGTGTGTGTGTGTGTGCGTGTGTTGTTTGGGGTGGACTGATGCAGCCATGCAGTGCTGGTAAATCCCAAGGCTGTCTCGGTCTTTACTCTCAGACGTGGTCCGCATACAGACATTCTTATTACGCACACGCACGATGTGCCTCTTGCTCACCAAATCCCTGTGTCCACCACACCTCCTCTCACCTGATCCCCTTTTCCCTCCTGATGCTCCTCTTTTTATCCCTTTTCTCATCTACATGTAATTGCTTACTGTTTTGCTCTCTACTTTCTTCCCCACCTTTTTTTGCCTCGCTTTTGTTCTCCTCCTCTCATTTCCCAACAATTTCTCCGTCTCCACACTGACCTTTTCTTTACCTTTACAAATGTGCATTAGAGTAATATCTTTCATTAGTACCGATCTGTCTGTGAATATGTCACACTGACGCGGTAGCGCTCCATCTTCCCTTCGCTGCAGTGGCCCTCTGGGGACGGCGTGCAAGACCATAGAGACATGCTGTGTGTGTGTGTGTGTGTGTGTGTGTGTGTGTGTGTGTGTAGGCTCTCCCCCACTGGGGGAAGGGAGTTTCTATCAGTGAAGAATTTATATTTCCTGCATGCCACAGAAATTGTATCTTTAGGGATTTGCCGTGGTGGGTTTGTGTTGTCGTAGGTAGGAGGGTATAGGAATATGTCCCAAGTGAATTGGGGAAATGGGAAGGCGTTGCTATTATATGGATACAGGGTGAAAACTCTCTTTCTCTGTTTACTTCTTGCTGCCTCTCTTTTCTTTACTTTGAAAAGGTGTAAATTAAATGATAATTGGCTACTAATGAGGTGCCACTCATACCGGATTGATAGGTGATTTAAATATCAATTACCTGGTCCCATCAGAACCACATTCAATGTTTGTCCTTTGCTCATGTATCCTTAAACCGTATTTAAAAGTGGTTGTCTTCTATTTTGACAACCCATTTGCTCTTTAAATGTCCTTACTGTTCACAATATTACAGACACGATAAATGGAACGGGTCAATTTAATAGTGGTTTCTGAAATGATCTGCTGTTTTAACCCATTTAACACAGGTTGTGGTGCATTCTGCTGCAATCAATGGGTCAGATGCACACGTGACCTGCTCAGCTTTGCAGACCAACATGTGTAGAGTATCACGTGGCCATCTTAACACGGACATGTATTAATATTTCAGTGCTCTGGCTTGTGTCACGCTATAGTCAAATGGGACTTTAGGGAAGGAGGAAATGTGCAAATTGGAGGCTATATGTACATGTCGATAGATAGATAGTGTCAGTCAAGCCAGTCTTCTGTCCGCGCAACCCTTCCGCCCCCGCGACAAACACACACAACTGCACAAACCATTGCTCTCTGTCTCTCCTCATATCTCCCTGCACTGACGGCCTTTTAAATAGAATATAATTAGCTACTGAGCCAACTACATAGCCCAGAGACACTAGCCATAAATCAGCTGTGTGCGTGTGTGTGTGGGTGTGTGTGTATTTCCGAGGGAGTCTGTGTGTGTCGAGTGAAAGGGTTTGTAGTTGGTTGCAAGGGAGAGGAAAACAAAGCAAGGGCATGTTAGGAGCTGGGCTATCTGTGACCTGTGCTGCGTTCTAACAAGAGAGAGACACATGAATGGACCAAGGGGAAGGCCGGCGAGGATGGGGAAAAGGATCGATACGTGTAAGGATGGCTGAATGGATGGTGGGATGGATGGGTGGAGAACAAGGCAGAGGATGAAAGGATTAAACCAAGGAGATGGATGGAGAGAGGAATAAAATTGAGGGGAAAAAGGGGAAATTGTTGAGTAAGAGGAATTATTGTAGGATGGAGGAGAGAGTAGGAATGAATGGAGGCAATAAAGGAAGGGGAGGTGATGGAGGGGGCAGTGTGAGAGCTGATAGAAAGAGAAATGGAGAGGATGGATGGAAAACAAGCACCCTTGACTTTAGGTCTAGATTGGAACAGACCCACTTGACCGAATCCCAAGCCACTCGTCATTAAACGCTACCATTTAGGTGGCCGTTGTGTTTGTCTGCCATCCATGCGTTGTGCCATGGATTACACCAGTCAGGTTGAGAGAACATAATAATAGTATCACAGCACACATACACAAATATGAATGTACGCAGGTTAAGAAATTGATGTAGCTGAAGGATTTGAAGGATCTATTATAAAAACAGTCACAAAATAACTAGTACAGTTGCCCTGGGAGTAAGAAGAAATCTCAACTAAGAGTAACTGCGCATTAATCCATCAAAGTCATGCGGCATCCTACAAGCAGCCTGTAGTTTCTGTTAAAATTTACATTTTAATTCAAGCACATCTTTCTTAAACTTCTTGAGCTTTTTTATGATGAAAATGAAGCCAGAATTGTGTCTAACGTTAGTATAATTTATAAGACACAGTAAATTACTGCAGCTCATGTGTCTTCATGCTACATAAGGTTTTAGCATTCAAATTATACAATAAGATTCATACACATTTGATGCAATATGTATGAAAGCAGGGCTGGCACACAATGAAAAAAACAATTAGTGCTCTACTGGAGGAGCTTTGTTTCAAACATTGTGTATATCCACACACACACACACACACACACACGCACACACACCCTCGGAAACACATACCTGCACAGACTCATCCACACAAATCTCCTGGGAGAGCTACAGTCAAACGGGGAAACGCTTCATCGTTCTCCGGGTCACTGAATCCACATCCTCTCTCTCTCTCTCTCTGACTACCCCCACCCTCACTCTCATTTCTGTAACCTGCTGCGGTTAATTGAAAGCCAATGGTGTGAGAATATGGCTCTTTGACAGGGAGTGCGTCGGGGCCAGAGGTCTTCTCTCTATCTCGCTCTCTTTACAATCAAAGAAAATATCCGCGAGGATAGATTAAAGCAGGGCGGAGCAGAAAATTACCACCACAGCAGTTTTAAAGGTGTTTTATTTCACCACACCGTCAATACTGCTGCTGTGTGTTACTCAGTATGTCAGCAAAATCTGCTTGTTTGAACTGTGGCTTCATGATTTTTGAGAAAGAATTACATTGACACATAAATCACGCTGGCTGAATTACTGCCTACAGGTTTAGTGTCCGTGGGACAAGATCCTTTTCACTTAACCTTTCTTCATATCCAACTGAAAATACTTCATAAGCTATGCAACCATATGCATAACCTGCATTTAGATGCACTACTAACGTCAAACTTAGGTTTAACTTTTGAAATGCCTTTTTAGTGGATTGAACAAAATAGTCAAGTTCCCCAAAGAAAAGTGAGAGGCAAACTCCACCAATTAAACTGTTTCTTTCATTCCTGAAGTTCAGCTACAAAACTATTAAGTTGAGCCAGATCACTTCTGTCTTTCAGTTCTAGAGGACAAAAGGTTTTACTCTAGAAATGATGGGAAATATAATGGTGCTGAAAGAGGCTGAACGCAGGAAATACAGACGTGTAAAACGTGAGGAAGGGGACAGAAATGAGATTTGGAAGTTGAAGTTAAAAGAAGACAGAAAATAAGGAGAATCTCAGGGCAAAGTATGAATAGAATTTCCGGTGGCTCCTTTTAAGTTTGAGCACCACAAAACCAAATGAACCACTCCCCATCCAGATGTTGCTACATATGTAAACAGCAGTGTGTTCATGCGTGTGCCTGTGTAGTATATGCGCATCTGTGTGTTAAAGGATGTGTAATCGAGCTCTATTCTGCAATTAGCATATTTGCCAATTGCCATTGCGGTGGAAAGCTATGGGAGGATTTAATTATAGACCCATCTGTGCATGAAAACGTGCAAACATCCTTCCTGTCCTTCCTCAGCTTCTTTCTCTTTTTCTATTGAAACTACTGAGTGTGCAGTATTGTTTTACACTGAAAAAGAAAACAAGTTTATTGACGTAGTGGCTTCGGTCCTTTCCTCTTTGCTTTTCTCTCTCAGAGCTGCACAAAAGTTGAACTTGGCATCCAAGAAGAAGAAGCAGAAGACTGCGGCCGTCACGGCCCCAGTGACGTCATCCTCGCAATCATGTGACCCCGCTCTGTTCCCCACCAATTTTAGCTCCGCCCTGTTGATGGCACCTCCTCCGGCTCCGCCATGCCTTCTCCGCGCAGCCAACAAAATCAAAGACACCCCTGGGCTTGGAAAGGTAACGGAAACGTACTTCGAGCGACTGTGGGCGAGTGGAGAGGCCGGTTGCCCTCCAGTCGGATAATTGGCGGTTCGATCCCAAGTCCCGCTAACCCGCGTGTCGATGTGTCCTTGGGCAAGACAATTAACCCCAACATTGCTCCTGTAGCTGTGACTACTGTGTGTGAGTGTTACTGATGTGTATGGGAGCTCATGTCATCAGTGTGTGAATGGGTGACTGATGACGTGTTCAGTGGTTACCATTACCAAGTCTTTTTTGATTGGTTTCACCCCAACACGTTTATGAGGACCATGGGAAGTATTGGCCAGTTTAATCATAATGAATATAACTCACTTATATTTTTATATCTTTGGTAAGTGACAAAATGGCATTTATTTCATATCAGATGTTGCCTGACAATTTCAGCAAATATGTTTTTTTTAGTTAGTTCAGATAGATTACTCTTTCTTGGCTTTTTGAGGATGAACTTGTGTGTCATAACACATAAATCCACAAGAATTCAAGCATTTAATTTATTTAAAAAAATGAATCAGTTGAGGGTCAAATGTCAGTTGATGTAAATCAAGTCTTTTAAAACTATTTGTTAGTTGTATTAGTATAGGTGTGGTCATTTGAGGATCGAGGTATTTATTTGTTGTTGCCTCACAGATCTGGATGTGGATTTGGCCTTTTCACTGGTAGGTTTTAAAATATGCATTTATTATGACCTTGGCCGATTTGTCTAGATGTATGCACTGGTATGTGTGTGTATGAGTGTGTGTGTCACCCCCTCTGCACCATACCGGAATGCAGGCTAATGGTTACCACGGTAACACATCTCAGGCTGACAAAAGTCATCTGTCACCATTGCCAACGGTTGATGGAACGCGCTTGTGTGTGAATGTTGTGGATGTGAGGGGGTTTCATGCCTCTCAAGTGTGTGCAATATTGATCGTCCATGTAATGAGTTTTTAGTGCCCCCTCCTCCACAGTTTGAGTGAGAGGCTTACTGATTCTGTTTGTGTGTGTCACTGCTGGAAAAAATAATGACTATGGAGGACAAAATCAAACAGACATCAAACAGCCATGTGTCCACTACAGCGGTCGGAGAGGGAAAGAGATCCCACACGTTGTGTTGTGAATATGAGTCTGAGTTACAAACATCATAGCAAGTTGTGCATATCATGACTGGGCGCTTTGGAATGTGTCCGTCTGTACTCGTGCATGCACGCGTGACACCGATGGACAGTTGACGGTGCAGATGAAGACAGAAAGAAGGAGTGGATAAAATGCTACAAAGGCTTGAAACAAGCAGGGAAGTTGCAATTATGTGGCATGTGCTGTAACCAGTCGCTCACTGAGGACAAAAATAAGTACTTTTACTCAACATTTTTGTGGCACTTCTACATAGTCTACAGTTTTGATTCTTTACACTTCATTTCTATAAGTACATTTTGACATGACCATATCAATCCCCAAAGCAAAATTCACAAGATACTAAAATTTATATAAAATGAAGCTATATGAATATTTTGATCCCGCTGTGCTGTGTTTTTGCTTCATCCCTCCTTTGAGTCTCTATCTTCGTGTCCGTCCATATGGAGGTGACAGATGTCCCCTCAGTTGTCAGGGAGACAGATTCACACTCTCATATTTACAAGCGCCATTCACACACACACACACACACACACACACACACACACACACACACACACACACACACACACACACACACACACACACACACACACACACACACACACACAGCAGCCAACTTAAACTGGCATTATAGACCCTTACAGTATGAGTATACAATTCCATGTACATTATACTTCATAAAGCACATATTCACAAACTATTTTAACCATCCGTCTATTGCTTATTCTGGCACAAGCCGTGGTGGCTCTGCTTGCTCTGGTTTCTGAAAGAAATGGCGGATAAAATAAGGACAAGACATGGTCCAAAGTGTCACAATATTCTGGTATTTGCAACATAACAAGCCTCTGCTGTAAAATCAATTGTAGCTTGCCAAGACCTAATCACACGCACGCACGCACGCACGCACGCACGCACACACACACACACACACACACACACACACACACACACACACACACACACACACACACACACACACACACACACACACACACACACACACACACACACATATGGAGAGAAAATGGCTGTGGTGACATTTCTACAGCAGAAATGTCACCTGCAGTGGGGGTCGGCTCCCTGCTGAAATGGCATTTGCACACATTCACACTCACACACTCATGCACAAAGACTTGCATGCTCACCAATTTATAGGATTATAGTTCACAATGAAAGATGTCATGGAACGAAGCCCCTGGTGGAAGTGTGTACGATACATCCTGCAGAATACATGGGCTTGTCTGCCAGTGAGATGGGGGTTTAGTGTCCCCCCCCATGTTAATATGGCAGAAAACAGATTGAGACATCACATTCAAAGCCAGGGGAAATCAACCTGCACAGGTCAGATATTCCGCATGTGTGTGTGTTACGCAGAGAGAGAGAGAGAGAGAGAGAGAGAGAGATGAGACTTAGCTGGGATGTATCCCTCATTGGAGCTCTCTGACTGGCGTCTGTATCTCAAACTCCGCTCTCATTTTTCGATATTGAGTGCTTCTCTACGTGCGTTGTTGCTAAGCTCTGTTTCCCTTCAATCTAATCAGCCAGCTGGGAGCCTCCCATTCAGACCCCTGACTGCTGGGGGAGATTTGTATCGGTCGAGGAAGTTAAGCTGTGTATATATTTTCACTCAACAAAAAAACAACACTGAGCCTGTAATTGACATTTTTGGATCTATCAGGTGAAAACCAAAGGTGTGAAATACAGTGTAGATGTCGACGATTGAACAAAGCCAATCCGTATCTGTGATCTGTAACTCATGTAAAGTCCTATTTGCTGAATATTTCGTTCCCCGTTCCAACTGGATTCGCTGTCATGTAACGTCACCGAGATGACTCTATTGCAGTCTGCCTGTCGGTCGGCCCTCCACTGGTACGGACTGATTCTCAACCATGATCCGGGATTAATGGTTGTAATCCTGGTGAATTAACTTCCTTAATTAAATATTGTGCCGTTGTAATCATATGTTTGTAAAATAATCGTTTTATGGCCAAATACCTGTTAAGGTGAATGTGGGTTTTGCTTCTGGCCACAACATGGTCAAGGATGGCAAGGGGGCTCTGTCAGTCAGTGTTGAATAGATTCAATGTCTTTATCAAGGTCAGTGGATGGAGAGAAGTGTTTCTGGGCCCAATGGCCTCATGTGCGCATCCCGGAACTGTTAACCCACAGTTCGGCCACTATGTCAGATTTGCTTTTCAAAGCCTGCGGCTCTTCGAGGGGGCTTTAGAGAGGCACCATAGCATGTCTTGTTCAAAGCTGCATCGCAAATACATGCACCGTGTCACAGTTGCCCCGAGGCTTACTAAGTCTTCTGCAAGCCGTCTGCCGCACTTCACCCGCAGTTCTCTATCGTAACCGATTCACATACAGTTCAACATTTCTGAGCAAAGGATGAGAAATATTATCAAAATGTAATGAAAGCTAATATCTTGCCCTGGTCTCTCTTGTCAATGGATGTGTCTTATCCTTCGCCTCGCTATCCCTTTATCTCCAACCTCTCTCCTCTTCTCCATTTCTGAATGACAATGAAGGACCGCAGGAGTTTTCTTTCAAGCTCTCTCATTCCTACAGCCAACATTCTTCACACACACATACTCACACACACACACACACACACACACACCCTCAGAAATTGCGACTTGACCTTGGGGGAAAATGATGCTATGACAGCTAATCAATTTTTAATAGCAGCAACGATCCCTCTCAGGCCACAAGCTGTGTGCTTTTCTGTCATGAGTGAGCGTGTGCCAGTGCATTTTACACGGGCATTTGTGTGTCTTCTTGCCTCTCTGGGTGTCTGTGTGTCTTGTATCTAAATGAGGGAGTTGGTCTGTTATGGGTATCCAGTAGCCAATTTGTCTCACCTAGTAGCTGAAATACACACATACACACCACATGGACTGTCAAGCGAAATGTTATCCAAAACAAGGCTTTGTTATTTAAGATAAAATAAGATAATCCTTTATTGGTCCTGCAGTAGTGGAATTGACAGGATTACAGCAGCAATATGATTTCCCCATATCCGTATAAAAGAGGTCTTATAGAGGCTCATTTAACAGTAAGCAGTAAGACCGTCGCGGTACTTCTATCCGTTGATACTCTTTTCTGAGCCTGAATGAAATTAAAAGGAAAATCTGAATCGATCTGAAGCCCAAACATGCTATTCCCTTATTGTATTTGTACCCATCTCTCCGTACATGTTTCTGCAGTCTTTTGTAACCAATTAGAGCTCGGTCTCGGTCTCTTATTGATTTTCCAGCCAATAGTAATGAAGCACTGCTGTGAGGGACTATCGAACAATTTTCTCTCAGCGCGGCCTTGTTTGTTGCTGTTTAGCTGAATTCCCTTACTTGAATTGGCTCAAAGACTTCATTGTGTCCGCGGAAGGAAGCCTTCTATCCAAGAGAGTGCATCAGGGGTCAAGTTAGTTTCTCAGGGGGAGAAGAAAAAACTCTTTGCCTCAACATCTGTAATAGGATGTAATCTTTAGCCGCCACAGTGGTATTGTAGTTTAAAATAGACAGGAGCCTGACATTTGTTGAACACAGTAATCATACATGCATGCATAAACACATCAGAGCAGAACACACCCATCCTTGCCCGAATCAAATGGGAGGCTCTATATTCACACAGAGACTTTGGAGAACAGTCAAAGAAACACTCACTTCTCAAGCGTCTCTTTCTCGTCTTCATGTCTGCAGGTCACCACCCTGTGAGAGAGGAGAGGATTACAGAAGGAGACTTTGTCTTGTCATTTTATTCTGAAGGAAGGAAAAGTAAGAGGGAGAGAGAAGGGAGATGACACACAGAGGGAATGGAAGGAGCATCGGGCATGGAGTGCATGGACAGTGAAATTGAGGGGCACAATGTTTTTCATGCACAAAGAGAGACTGAAGAAGGGAAAGGTGAAGGTGTTGGGGAAGTGGGAGCCTGGGAAAGTAGAGGGCAGATAGAAGAAGCGATACGAAGGTATTGTTAGGGTTGTGTTAGTAACAGGAGAGTTAAAGGTGACCTATTTCTTACTTTAGTGTCACATTTAGCTTTCTTCATGTTGCTGTTAGCATTGTACCTTATTATGTTATATACATTGCTATTTGCTATTAGGTGTCCAAAGCCAGGAATGCTATTTGCAGCCAACCCAGGCGCACATTTCATGTGAGTGAAGCCTACAGGGGGCTGTATTTTTGTAACCTATTAGTTCTGTTGCCTAAGAAATAACTGAACAGCAAGTGAAACAGAAAATAATGTATGTTATGTTTTTGAAAAAAAGGGTTCCCATGGTTCTCAGGTGACGGATTGAGTTTGACCTGACCGACTTCCTTCAGATTCTCTGTAACTCTTTAAACTAATACTACCATCATTTCTGCCTGAGCGAGATGTCTGGCAGCCTTTAAACTGGCCGACTAATGGGAAATAAAGTAGCATATCTTAATAGCTGAATAGTTGCCTTGTGACTATTCACTCCTTGGTGCAAATAAACACCACGTAGTTGTCAACTTTATCCACATTTAACATTGTGCTTCATCTTGCTTTATAAAAAGAAAAGCCACACCAACTGCTTTTCTCTCTTCTCATTGGAAGAACAAAGAGTCCATTAGCTCCGTGTTCTCCCTGCGTCCATGTGCTTGTACATCATACTGGCTGCAGCACTTTGCCACATGTATTGATTCACCATTGGATCGATGCCAAGGATCCTCTGAGAATGACGTGAATGTGGGTTTGCACAAACCCGCTGACATCCCTGTTTTACAATTGTGCTGAACTCAGGTTTAACTTCCAGTGTGAACGTTCCAAACAAAAGCTTATCGCGCTTTTGGTGTCTGGAGACCAACGACAGCCAGAAAAAAAGATTCACACATCTCAAATGTGGCATAATTATGTTGATTTATTCTATTCTATTATTTATTCTATTTTATTTTAATTGTGTTGTTTGCCAGATGATATTTGGTTAGTCATCATCACAGCGCTATGATGGTTTAAAAAATAGTACACACACACAAACAACCCTCTTATCCCCCACACTCTTAGACACGAGGAGGAGATCGGCTCCCAAGAGGGAAGACTTTATGAGTTAGGCCTTGTAAATTTTGTTAAGGTAAAATCCTCACCCCCCTCCCAGCGGGGTGAAGGGCTTTTATTGGGGTCAGGAGGGGGGCCTGGTACTGATTCTAAGTGTAAATGGATGTGTGTAGGTGTGAGGGAGACAGAGAGAGAGAGAGTGTGTAACTCTGACATTAAGCTATCGTAGGTTTCCAAAGTCACCAAGGTCACACATTTATTGTATTCGGTGGCATCTCAGTTCACCTCACAACTCATCCATGGACACACACGTTTTGTAATTACCTTCTTCTGAGAAAGAATTCAAAGCAAACACTCTCTCACACACACGCATCACACAATTTATTGAACGAACTCTCTTAAATGGCCTATGGTCATTTAATGATGCAACCAAAGGAAAGCCTGTTAATTATTGAGCGCGTGTGTGTGTGTGTGTGTGTTACAGGAAGGGAGACAAAGAAATATGCATAAAAACGGCATTATATTAAGGGCTCTTGGACTGTTATTTGCTTTGTGCTTTTTACACGGCAGTATATTAGATACCAGTAGACTTTTATGCTTACATTTTTAATAAAACACTTATCCTTCTAGGTGACTTTGTTCATTATAACGTGACCTTGTTCTGGTTGCCTTTGTCTCTTTGCTCCAGTGCAATTAAATGAATTACAGAAAATCATTTGTACCAATTTTTAATCTCTTTTGTGGAAAAAAATGATTTTATGTTACTGACGTTATCCATCATAGTAGATAACATCTGCTATGTTAATTAGCAGAGGTTAATTAATCAACAGTTTAATTTATTTAGAAAATAAACCATTTTCGTACATTTCACAGCGTTTGACATTGTATTTTCCAAATACTCAGCTAATGGGTGTGTAAGTAAAATGTGAAGTTTAACTCACTTCCGTTTATTCTGTGAATGCACATAGAGTGCTGTGTGGTTTGAAGAGTTTTGGGGTTACTGAGTTTGTCGTGTACCCATGTAGGTGTTTAACTGGGACGCGGTGTAGAATCACTCTTCAGACGATGATCCGTCCGCCCGAACAAGCACAAGCAGACGACAGATCTCCTCCTTTTCCTTCCCTCTTAGGAGCCACATAAACACAGCAGTCTTTTTTCATCTGCACATCTGAGCCCTGTTGACTAAATCCTACTGATTGAAAGGCACATGGTAAATAGATCTGTAATGGGTCTCATTACTATTTTAATTTGTCCAATTGTGCTAATAAGCACATATTTAGCAAAAATATATAATACAACTGACAGAATCCTGTGAATTCTCGTTCCATGATCAATTATACAACTACAGAGATATTTGAATGCTATAATCCATCTTTCATTCTCTAGACTGCTTTATCGTTGTCAGGATTTAGAGGTCTCGAGTCACGCAGGTTCACTCAAAATGCTGTATCCTCATTCATAGTTTGGTTCTTTTAAAGGACGTAGTTCAAAAATGTGTGTTCTTTGGATTTTCTAAGGAAACTTGCAACGTTTCCAAAAATAAGACTCTGGAGAGTCTGGAGTGCAAGGCTGAGGAATTGCACATCTTCCGTCTGTATATTGTACACTGTCAGCTGCTTTACTGTTTACACAATATTACGCTCTTTGCATCTGTCGTATCTTAAACTGTAAATAATTTACATTTTGTTGAAGCTGTAGCCAATTGACTGTGAACTAATACTGATTCTGATTTCAGTCTGATCAAACTCTATACAAGATGTTTTTACATTTTACATTGTACCTTGCAGACCAACGTGTCCACATTTTAAAGAAGTTCATTTTTGGCTTGATGTTCATTAAGTAAATAATTTTCACACTTCTAGTAAAATAGGCAGTTATGCAGCGTATGCTAGCTTTTGTCCATGTTGTCGTACAAGTTGAAACCTTTCACGGTGTGCTTTTATTTCACTTATTGTAACCGTTTGGGTTGCCTAACAATGTTGTATTCAGCGTTTGGTTGAACTCAGCTCAGTCAGAAGTTGTAAAGGGAAATCAACGGTGACAGAAAGAAATACATCTGTAAGTAGAAAGTAGAAGTCAGAAAAGGTAAACCGACTCGTATACTGTACATAATCACTTCATAATCCATCCACTGTCAGTGTAAATCCAATATATTTGATGATCATTCTCTGAGACAGTTGGTGTGGTTGAGCCTGAATCTATAGAGCTCTCATTGCATCTGGACCATTTGTCCTCTAACAAAGCCTCTCTCTCAATTGTCAGAGGGCGAAATCTGCGGTAAACTTTCCATACTGAATCAAGTAGTGATTTTAGGTAGTGAGAGATCAAACGAGTGCGAGAGAAAGAGACAATGTCTATTCCATCCAGATACGCCTGAGGACGATCAAGAGAGAATAAATAAACTGTTTAAAAGTCTCAAACTTTAGAAAGATCTTGAAAAAATATTTCAATTCATTATGGTAAAATGTCCCGGAGCTCACTCAGATTTGATGACGCAGCATTTTGCTTCCTCTGACATCAAAGAAAAACAACAGCAGCTGTCAGGCGGTAAATTGTGGCTGCAAACCGTTTGAGACAGGAGTGGGAGGAAAGAGGAGTGCGAGGAGGAGAGAAAGCAGAAACTGGAATCCTGCACTTCAGGCTTCTGATATGTGGCAGAGAACTGAAGCTGCGCAGGAGGGCAGAAAAAAAAGAGCGGATTTAGGATAGAGGAAAAAAGGAGAGATTACAAAAGAGTAACAGGTGAATGAGGGGAAGGATGAAGAAGCACTCGGTGTGAGTAAGGTGATGAGAGAGAGCATTCATGTGAGTCTTAAAAGAAATATAAATCAGACTGTTTTGAGTCTTTGGGGAGTCTGTTGTGGGGGCTATAAGGCACAGATGAGTTCTGATGCCTGTGACAACAATCCCTCACTATGATCCAATCTGCTCATAGTTCCCACTCACGTAGGTTTTTTTTCTGGGTAAGCACCAAAGATTTAGCACTACATTTAGCACTCACTTTTACGCTACTGTGAAGGCTGCGTGAATCCTTTTGATTTTGGCTTTAACCTCTGCATCTGTTTTGGGTCTTTGTGAGGCTTAGCGGTGTCTTGGTGTCTCACCAGTATGTTTTCTTTGTCTTAGGTGAAAGTGATGGTTCGTGTGTGCCCGGCGTCTCAGTCGGACGCAGCGGAGTCCAGTTCCTTCCTTAAAGTGGATCCCAGGAAGAAACAAATCACCATCATGGACCCCTCAGCCAATCAGACAGCGAGCTCTGCCTCCCAGAAAAAGGCGGGAGCCAATCAGGTTCCTCCAAAGATGTTCAGCTTTGACGCTGCTTTCCCACCTGATGCATCACAGGTAAGAGAAACCCATGACACAAAGAAAAGGCAACCTTTTATAAAAATGAATTACAAATCTATGCAAACCGTTGCAAACAGTGGCTGAGGGGATAACCCTCAATATGTAGTTCCCAGATATTTAAAATGTCTGTTAAAATAGCTTACTTGACTAAAACCATCTACCGAAGTGTCATCAAGCCTCAATCATTAAAAGAGTGATTTCAGATTAAAAGGTCTATCAATAGGAGTTATCTTAAAAAATCGTTTCTTTCCCGGTCGTCATGCCTTTCCTGACCGTCTTCCGTCATCTCCTCTGTCTGCCGGTTGCTAGGCGGAGGTGTGCGCGGGAACGGTTGCCGAGGTGATTCAGTCGGTGGTAAACGGAGCAGATGGCTGCGTCTTCTGCTTTGGACACTCCAAACTGGGTAACTCTCACACAAATGCACGCTCACTACGCAATCAGAGCATGTGCGGCCAGCGAGTCATCTTCTGTGTGTCCGACCGACAGTGCGGCTGTCTCTCATTTGGCTCTCATCTATCAGAGGGGAGAAAGAAGAGGATTAGTGTCTACAGGAGCCGAAAGCATTCTCAGTCTGCTCTGTCTGTGTTTCCGTCGTGTCTTCTCTCTCTCTCTGTAATCCTACTGAAGCTGGTTTTCGGAGGAGTTGTCTGAAAGAGGGGTTGGAACCCCCTTTGTGCACACTGCAACATGCAGGAACCCACACACATGCACTGGCACAAACAGAGAGCCAAAGCTCACACGCACACACACACACACAGAGTGTCTTAGGCCCTGGGTCAACCCCTCGTTGTGTTTATCCCTGTACATGCAAGCAGCATAACCCTTCTTGTGATCCGCATGCAGTTAGCTGGAGTCCCCAAAGCCCCTCGAAATGTTGGCAGGGGACGAGCGCAGAGAATTTAAATGCAGCAGTTCAGCAGGGAACATTTCTGTGTTAACAACCAGCCATTTTTTTTGAAACCAGGAATTTTATCACCTGCCAAATCTGTTATGCAAGTAAACTCATTTGTAAATGAATACATAAATAAAGATGGTGGCATCTGAAAACAAGACCCAAATTGTGATAAACAGATGCTTTTCTTTTTTCACATTGGTGTCATACGTTTGCACACGAGCATGCTAAAGAGTGGGCAAAGAGCAGAACCGAATCCACTTCTCCCTCAGGGACGATCAAACAAACAGATGCACACACAATCACCAGAGCTCTCCCAAGACACTAACCCAACAACTGAGACAATATGCCCCTAAAACACAGCTCCTATTGCCAGAGTTTGATTGTGTTACAGGATAGGCATAACCACATTTTTTGTCTTTAGCACAGAAAGTCTTTTCATATGATCCATAGACAGTTTGCTCTTACATCATTTTTACGGTTGTATTAATGGTGCAGAGAGGCTCTGACACGACAACGGCTGCTCTGCCAGCAGATGAGATGATCCTTGCTTTCGAGTTTAATGAGGCTGGATTGTAGCTGCATTACCTTTTTCCCTAATTAAAATGGAGAAAGTAACACAACGAGCATTTTTCGTGGCCCTGTGGCCCGTGGCTGTAGACACAAATGGGCTCTCAGACACACACACGAGTCGACTCATCTTTCACAAAGAGTAACCAGTTCTTCATTGAATAAGTTATTATTATTGTGAAAAAAATGGACGACCTTCCGGAATATAAGTGAATCCTCTGCTGGATTATGGTGTTGGTTATGTGACTATTGGCTTTGGATAGATCATCTTTTAGTAACGAGGAATGTGAGCGAGTGTTGTGTGTGTTTATAAGCAGAAGTGTGCGAGTCGTTGAATTGTTGATATTTCTCTCACACTTTTGCTGTTTAATGAGATCAATGCTGGGAATATACATAGACATGGATACACATGCATAAACACACACACACACACACATACACACACACACACACACACACAGCTTCATCCCCTGCAGAAAAGAGTGACGATGTATTAGTCAGTGAAACAGTCAGCTAGCTGACCAGACGGAAACACGTGTACTCACGTTGATGTTTAGGCCAGTGCTCTCTCTCGCTCTCTCTCTCTCTCGTGTACATCCTGAAAGGCAAAAGAGAGAAAAGAGGTGCTTTGTGGTTATGTAGTGGTACGAAACAAGTCGGATTTGTTAAATCAAAAGAATTCAACCTGCAAATTGGTTAAATCAGTAATTGAGTAATTCACCCATTGTTGCTGATACAGCTGATTCTTTAGCATTGATTTAATATCAGTGTGAGGTTTTATCAAGAAGAGTTTTGCATTGTGCTTTAGGGAACAATGCCAAACAAACAATATTCAACATTTTTTCTGACAAATCATAAAATGCACCTTTGTTTTGGCAGGAAGAGACATTCAGGGTGAACAATGTAACATAACAACCGACCCACCGCGTTATCTCTGAACAAATCGGAGCACATTTATTTCTCTCGCCTGCATCACACAAGTCAGGCTTCTGATCTCCTGTTTAAGTGGAAATGTTCGTGTTGGTGCGATTGCCTTTGTTTAGGTGTGTGTTTGATCTCCAACTCCCGACAGTCAGAGCAGGTGTGTGTGTGTGTGTGGGGGGGGGGTTCAGGCACTCAAACACACACACACACACACACACACACGCACACATGCACTAATATAAAGCCCCTTTTTCACTACATGTCTTTTTCATGATGTTCTTTCTTAATTTGACCTTTCCTAACTTTTATGAATCCCCTCTTCCAGGTAAATCCTACACCATGATTGGCCGTGATGACGCTCTCCAGACTCTGGGTATAATCCCCTGTGCCATCTCCTGGTTGTTTAAGCTCATAAATGAGAGAAAAGAGAAAACGGGAGCACGCTTCTCTGTTCGTGTCTCTGCAGTGGAGGTGAGTATTACTGGCGAGACTTCAATTTACCTCATTTCTTGCAGAGAATCACAGGTGCCATCACCGATACAAACATGTGGGACGCTGCAAAGGTTGTGGTGTCATACCAGACAACAGTTACCTAAATGTTAAATATTCAACTCTTGACTTCTCTCTGACAAGGTTATAATAACTCCCTATAAAAATGGTCGGACCACATTTAGTCCAAGTCAATTTGGGCGGATATTTTCTCAGAAAATAAAATACGATGTGATATCGATATTATTCAACTGCTGTGTGTGTGTTCAGGTTTGGGGAAAAGAGGAGAACCTTAAGGACTTGCTGTCTGAAGTGGCCACAGGCAGCTTACAGGACGGACAGGATGGACAGTCACCTGGAGTCTACCTTTTTGAGGACCCTATCTGTGGCATGCAGGTGACCAACAGGCACAAAAGCCCACGATACAATGCACACAAACATACAGCAGCTGACGGTAGCACTCTTTCATGCAACGCGTCTGCCATGAGTTAAATCCTGCGAGTGTGTGTATGAACTTTGGACCTCGTCATTAAAATGCTTTACCATTGTTGTTTTTAGCCTCAGGCAGTTCTCTTTTGTTTTAGCTACTCACTTCAGAGCAGCCAAAATTAGAGTTTTACTATGCTATTAGTGTCAAAATAATCCAGGGCATTTTTTTAAAACATCCGGTCCAGAAATAGATGTGTTACTTAGATTCCATCAGAGTAACCCTATTCTAAGAAGAAAAAGACGAGTCAATGACAGACACAAATGGAAAAAATATATTCTTTGATGTATACAAGCTTTTTTCTTGAAATTGATTTTGCTTTAATTGACATGTATTGGTTGCTTACAAACACTTTGATGATTGTGATTCCGACAACAGAAGCCTACTTACAAGGCTCTAAGTCTAAATACCATTATGTAACTGTTGGACGTTTTAAGTTAGTAACTACATAGCGGGCTCAATACGTAGTCTCAATAGGTGTGTATGTAGACGCCCGACAAAAGCACCTGAGTGACGGGATGAACTCTGTGTGTTGAGCTGCAGTTTTACGTTTATAGGATTATTGGTCTGATACACGAACAACTTTATAGTCTTTAGCTAATCTGACATAATCTCATTGGTAATGAGAATCTGCTTTACCACACAGACCTTCTCTCACTCACACACACACACACACACACACACACACACACACACACACACACACACACACACACACACACACACACACAAAGCCACCTGCTCTCTTACTCACCTTTGGCTTTATTGTAATCTGTCAATCAATCAGTGTGTCAGTATTATCAGTGTTTTTTGACACTTTGAAGGTAAATCAAACCTCAGCTTGGACTAAATTGTATCTTCGCTCTCCGGTCCTTTTTTAAACTCAAACAACCTCCCTCCTCCCACACGTCTCGCAGCTCCAGAACCAGTCTGAACTGCGCGCTCCGACCCCGGAGAAGGCGGCCTGGTTCCTGGATGCAGCCATCGCAGCTCGTCACAGCAGCCACACCACGGAAGAAGAGCACAGAAACTCACACATGCTGTTTACATTACACATATACCAGTACCGCATGGAAAAGACAGGCAAAGGAGGAAGTAAGTACAATTTGTTCTAAATAGGAAAGTGATAACAAATTATAACATATCATTTTAACATATATTATTTTAAAAAAGTAGTAGTAAAAAATGTCATGGAAAAAAATAAAAAAGGCAGCAGTAAAAATGCAGTTTAGTAGTTAAATATTGCTTCACCACAAAGGAGAGCAAGCAGGGAGTGAGAGTACACCACAAAGATTGACTGAATTTTCTTTTAGTCACTGAGTATAAATAGTGCGTATACCTGTCAAAAAATGTTCTTTCTTCAGTTCGATTCAGTCTCATTACACACGTGTGTATATATCACATATAGAATGGGATATTTGATGATGACATAAATCATGTGGGAACACAACATGCCTTCAGATACATTCTATTTTTTTTACCATTTTATCAAATCATGATGCTACAAAATTCAGAAAAAAACCCCACAAGCTTCTTCTTTTGATATATTGAGGATTACATTCACCGGTTTAAACTTCTTTCTTCCCTTCCCTATTTCCTTACCTTACCAGTGTCAGGAGGTCGCAGTCGCCTCCACCTGCTGGATTTGGGCAGTTGTGATCTCAAAGTCCTTGGAGGAGGAGACGTGAAAAGCAGGGAGAACTCTTTGCCCGGCGCTGCCCCTCTGTGCCTTTCTCTATCGGCCCTCGGCAACGTGATCCTGGCCCTGGTCAACGGCAGCAAGCACATCCCATACAAGTAAGGTGGCGTGTGCACGAGGCGAGGAAATGCGTAAAAAGATGCTTTTATTAAAGTAATAAACACATCTTGGTGGAAACCAACTTGGAGAACGAAGGGTGGGGAGGTCAAATGAAGAGGAAAGCGAGATGTTTGGGTGAGGAGAGGAAGGGAGAGGAGGGATCGCTCAAATTGCTTCAGGATTTGGGGACTTAATGCCATAAACAACAACAGCTGCTGTTACATATTCATCATGTCCATTTAGCTAGTTAGCTGACTAACAATGAGAGCAAAGTAGAGAGAGATAGAGAAGGAGAAATGGAGCAATAACACAGACAGAGATTGTTTCCAGAAAATTAAAACATTAATGGAATAAAACTACCTGCTCTAGTACCGTTTGGTATGCAGCGTACAGTTGATGGACCAAACTGTAAATGTCCTAATTTTACCTTTCCTTACCTCCTTCCCTCTTGCTGTTCTCTTTAAGGGCTTTGCAGCTCTGTGCTTCTTGCTGAGTTAATTAAACCACCAGCTTTTGCATTTACATTGCAAAACAACCTGCTACCTAACACTGAGGCCGCAGGAAAAGCTGTGCTGGGTCTGGTTTGGCGCTGATGACTTAGAGTGTTGTGGGAATGTCAGGAGATTTGGACTGGTTTAGTAAATTAGGTAGTGTTGCTTCCACTCCAGAACCAAGGAAGGTTGTCTCCACAGAATCAAAAGGATGAGCAGAGGTTTTTAAGTCAACGTGGATGTTGACTGCAATCCTGGATAACGTATACCAATTCTAATGATAATCCATCCAGTATTTTGTTTAGAAATAACAAAAGCCAACCTATAATTGATCACCATCATTGGTCACATCATCACAAAACCATGATGTCTCTTCACAATTTCACATTGATGCCTCTCATCGTTGCTGAGATATTTCAGTCTGAGAAATCGTGTCATTCGACCAGCGTTAAAATGCTATTGGGACAGGGTCCCATCCGGTCCTGTTCCAGTGCTGTTGCTAGGTAACCAGTGATTCCATCCCAGTAGATTAGTAGACATTGTCATGTGTATAGCTTTCCAGTCCAGTTAAAAAGGGTAGACGGTTGTCTGTTACCAGGAAATCAAGATTTTGGCTCTGGCCCAGACGTGACTCTAAGCATCTCGGCGTGATGCCCGACAAACAGGGTTTTCCACTTGTGTAGATTTAGAGGCTTTTCTTAATTTCCCTCAACTTAAACCTCTTCATCCCGGCCTGAAGTCTCTAAAGTCACTGCAGAGCCAGTTGGGTTATAATCCAAAATCCTGTTTGACCATTGCATCTTTGTTTTGGCAATTTCTAATATTATCTATATAGGCACATAGACTGCAGCGCACATTAAGAAAGTCTAGATTGCCTAATTTATTGTGGAGAAGTCATATACAGTACCAGTCAAAAGTTTGGACATACTTTCTTATTCAATTGAATGAAAGTTGTGAGTGAACGTGTTTTAATGTGGCTTTTTAATTTGTGCTGCTCAATAGTTCCTCGTAATAATGTTGGGGAATTTAGATGCTGCTTTCATTATTGGCCAAAAGAGCATCATGCTACGTTCTGTCTTCCCTGGTAACAAAAAATAAAAACATAATACATTTAGCACGGTCTGAGAGGTTAGAAGGAAACATCCTCAGCGCTTAAATTAATGGAAATGGATACTTCATGAGTCATGAATTTACCTAGATTAATCTCGGGGACCGTTGATGGAAATAGAGAAAAATCTAGGCGGGGAAGAGACAAGGGTTTGTTGAAGCCTGCAGCCAAAAACCGAGAGAGGAGAAAAGAAAGAGAGCGAGAGGAGAGGGGCACCAACAAGAAAGAGGAGTTCAAGAAAGGAGTGTGTGCATGCATATGTGCAGAATGTACACATACGTGTGTGAGACATGCCTGCAGGCTGCGTTTTTAGAGAAGGGGGACAGCGGCATGAGGTATTGGGCCACAGAGGAGCTCTACTTACCATCAGGCTGCAGGCCTCTGTGCACGCACGCACGCACGCACGCACGCACGCACGCACTCATACTCACACACACACACACACACACACACACACACACACACAATGAAGGATTGTGATAGCCCACCCAGGAGAAAGTCGTTTCTTTAACACACAGCCTACTTTTACCCTCCCATCTGCTCGCATAATCTCTCTGGGAAATAGATTATCGCCCAATATTAGGCTACATAATATCCTTTTAAGACAGTGTTAGCTTTAGCCTTGAATAGCAAACTTTCATGTGCTCAAGCAGCTTTGAACAATATTCATAATGAATAATTACCATTAACTTTGCTGTAATGACCTTCATTTATATGCATATGCTAGCCTGTTGTGTCATTATTACATGTCACATTTGTGTGTGGTTGTGTTTTAGAAAATTTACTAGTTTTGTTTGAGTGACTGAATGCAATTCCAAAAGTGCATTAAGAGCTCACATCTCGGCGTATGTCTGTTACTAGGGACAGCAAACTGACCATGTTGCTAAGGGAGTCGCTTGGCAACATGAACTGCCGGACCACCATGATTGCTCACATCTCTGCCTCACCCAGAGATTTCTCAGAAACCCTTTCCACCATCCAGATCGCTTCCCGGGTCCTCCGCATGAAAAAGAAGAAAACTAAAGTCACAGTGGTGAGTTTCAATCAAACCGTATCGCTTCAGCAAATTGGGAGAGAATTTTCCCAAATTTCATGAAACTTTAGATCTTATATAGTTCACGATAAGGTAACAACAGTCACTACATTCAGCAGGTGCTGCTGTCAACCCCTCTCGGCTTTCACTTTCCGTGCTTACTTAGATGGAAAGGGTGAGGAATTAAAAAATATGAATAAAACTGTAGTCAGTAGGTACGTGATAGTGTCCGTCCGTGATAGAAAGTTCTCATCTTCAATCTGTTACTTGGCTAAGCTGCAGGTCCAAGATCCGAGTGGATGTCATCTTTTTCGCTCTGGCCATTCCATCTCTTCCATCTCTCATCTCTCGCTGTCATCTAATTAAAGAGAAAAGAAAAATCGCGCTATCCAAACCAAGATGGGGATTTTTCCCCACTCAACACCAACTCTGCCTCTTGTTTGCTTGTCTCTACTCCCCCTCAGCAATACACTTCCAGCTCCTCTGGAGGAGAGAGCTCCTGCGAGGAGGGTCGCATGCGTCGTCCCACCCATCTGCGACCTTTCCATCACCGCGGTGACACGGACTCGGACCTCCCGTTGCTGCGACTGTCCAGTGACCCCGACGAATATTCCAGCAGCGAGCAGTCATGTGACACGGTGATCTACGTGGGCCCTAACGGGTCCGCGGTGTCCGACAGAGAGCTGACGGACAACGAGGGGCCGCCAGAATTTGTGCCAATTATTCCTGCTTTGCTTCGAGGTAAAATGTCGGAACAGCATCAAAGTCAAAGTCAGGCGGCCGGAGCCCAGAACAAGGTAGTGAAGCTACATTTAGATGTCCTATTTTGTTTAGACACTGAAAAATATTTGGATTGAAAGAAACTCTTCATGATTTATGTTTTGACAGGTTCAGCCTCAGCCAGACGACCAACCCAGTGTCGCCGCTCAGCCTTTGCCTCAACCCTCTCAGTCGCTGCTCGGGCAGCCGTTGGCTCCGGTCCCAGAGGAGAGAGCCGAGTGCCTGAAATGTAACACCTTTGCTGAGCTGCAGGAGAGACTGGACTGCATTGATGGAAGCGAGGAGGTGATTCGAGTTTTCTGTCTTTGTTTTGTTTCTAATCGTTAAAAGAATATATAGCAGGAGAGAAAGAGATGCTGTATTTAAGTTTGACAGGTTTTTTGGCAGGTAAAAAACTGTTCTGTTCCTATTTATTTAGTATTTTTCTGCACTCACAGTATCTGCATAACCTTTTTCTCTCTTTGTGTTTGTAGGGTTATTTGTCTTTTCCTTTTTAATATGCCTTGTGTAACAACATAAGAAGAAGAAGCAATAACTTTACAGGACCCGGATCTATTTTCATACATCCTGTCCTTTTTTCAGGTGGCAAAGTTCCCCTTTGAAGAAATTCCAGCGAGCAAACAAGGTGCCAAACAGGAGTCATGTCCATCTTCGGCTGTCACGACCTCCGCTCCTTCTGCTCCGGTGCCGGATACAGAAACTAAAACAGGTTAATTCATTAATAACAACAATAGGTTTTAATTCTGTAAGTCAGCATCAAGTCAAGCTTCATTTTATAGTGTTTTAAAAAAACAACAACATTGTTCTATCCAAACCCCCAGGCTCTGCATGTGCTGTAGCAGGTTCACTGGAGTTCTCCTCCTCAGCAGCAGCAGCAGCCTCCAGGAGGAGGACCAATGACCAGCAGCTACAGGAGATCAAGGAGGTGGTGGAAGAGGCACAGCTGGCTCAGACAATGATCCACAACTTGGCTCAGAGTTCTAGTTCCACTATAGTTACTAGTACCAGGAGCGTTACGGGAAGCAGCACCATTCCCTCTAACCCGCTACACAGGGCCAAGAGCTCCCTGCAGGACGGGTGAGGACAGCAGGAGTTCTGCAGGATTAATGTTGATTTGTCATTTGGTTGACTATGACTTCAATTGAAAAGATCTTTTATTGTGTCTCTTATAAGCCGCGAGAGTCTGAATGTGGTGAATAACACTGAGGGGAAGGCCCGGCCATTAGGATCTCCACGCCTTGGCATCGCCAGTCTCACCAAAACCTCAGACTTCAGGTAAGGTATACATATGTACTGTATGTGTGGACAATAACGTTGAATGTGGACTTCAGTTTTACTGAAAACGACATTTAGAAGATATGAAAATAAAAAAAAACACAAACAAAAGAATCATTTGAATTGTTACCAAAAGCAGCAACGAATTAGTTGTATGTGGGATAAAAAACGGTCTAAATGTTTGATCCTTGTATTCTTCCCCAGGCCTCCGTGCTCCCCGTCCCAGCGGTGCAAAGTGTACACCCAGAAGTGTGTATTGCCGGCAACGCCCCCCTTGTCCTCACACACTCTGGCTCAAGATGGACAGACAACAGAGGCTTTGACCTCAGACAGTATGCTTCTTTCTTTGTGTTTCTGCTTCACAACGGAGTACTGTATCGGTTTTGCTTGGGTCCTAATGTTGTATGTACAGCCCGTTATTGGGATTCCTTACACGGATATCCCTCTGGCCGGTGAGGTTATTGCTGTTTTATGCTAAAAGCCGACAGCACAGTCTTTGTGAAGGTCTTACGGCATTTACAAATATAGCCACATACTGAGTCAAAACGACACTGTCTATCAATAAAATAGTCGGTGGGTCCAAATTGGCATCACAGTGTGAGACCAATTTCCTTCTATCCTGCACTTGCAAAAGAAAACGATTTACGATGCCAAATGTGTGTTTCTGATTCTGCAGACAGTTTGGCTGCAGACAGCGGCCGGTCCTCCACAGGCTCCCTGCTGTCTCGGACTTCTCCGGTGGGCATGAGCCCACAAGTCCGAGAGCCGGCCCAAACTCTGTCGGCCAGCCTGGGATCAGCAGAGACCCTCTGTGACGATGACGTCCCACCGATTCCCTTGGACACACACAAGGATGGTGAGTTAAACCAAAATTTTTACATTGCAGAACGGAGGTTAAGATGCAAAAAAAAGGTAATGTGAGTCGAAGAAAAAGAAAGAATTGTGAAGACAATTGTGAAGACAATTAACTCCAGCTGGGAAACAAATACAGTAACCTGGTTGTCATACTCCACTTGCAGCCGCGGGACCAGGAGCTTCTGTAAGAACAGTTGGACCTCCGTCACTTGGGGAGGATGAAGCAGTGTACACTTTAGCTTGTGGAGGTGAGGACGACCTTGATGTTACAGCTCTTATGGAGAGTCAGGGCCTCACCTGTCGTCCAACGAGCATCGCAAGCTTCAAAAGTGACTGTTGCTCCGTCGCTGCCTTTGCTTCAGAGTCTCAAGCCTCCTGCTCCATCAGTACAGCCGAGGATGGAGCTGTGGCAAATAATCGCATGCTTGCAGATCCTGCAACAACCTCGGGGGGTACGGATGTCGCTGCTATGGCAGAGGTTAGTGTGATTGACTTACTTTGCATTTACAATGACTAAGATAATTTGGCATTTGAAAATGTGTCCCAATAAAATCAATCAATCAAATTCTAGGGCTGTCAATAGATTTAAAAAAAAAAGATTTTGAAATTCATTAATCTCGATTAAGTTTGTTTTTCTTCTAAAGCCTAAACGTTATAAATTAATGTGTAACCACTTTAGAAAATGTGTAATTTAGAGACTATTGTTTAATAGTTGTTTTTTAACATGAAAGCTAAACACATTTGATCATTGATCATAAATTACTTAATATGACAAAATAATCTTTAGCTGTCATAATTTTAATAGAACCTTAAGAAGATGGCTGTCTTTTTTACTACTTGTCCCGTGCCTGATGTCATACTCAATCTAAATGTGTCCCGCTTGTAGGTGGCCATGGCCAAGTTGCGGATAGAAGGAGAAGCCTTTTCCACAGTGACGTCTAACTGCGGTTCACCCATCTCCTCTTGGATGAGTGATCTGAGCATGGGCAGCGAAGCTGAGCAGTCTCTCCACAGCTTCAGTCAGTCCCAGAGCCAGCAAGGGGAGGCCCTGGCTGAACCTGAACCCAGCCAGAACCTTTTGTTCGTATCTGATGGTCTGGGTGGTTATGAGAACGGAGGCAGCCCAAAAAGGGGGACTCTGGAGGGAGAGTTGGTGCTGTCAGAAAACGGGAGTAATAAGGCAACTGCAACCAAAGACCGGCTGAGAAAACTGCCTCCATCCATGGCTAAAACGAACATCCAAATTCTGGCCGGACCCAGTAACTTCTCTCCCTTCAAGACCACCATCAGCGTGCACCCATGTGTGGCTGTCAAACCCATGGTCATACAGGAACAAACCATCCTCTCTTCGCCTACCAAGACCAGCTCAACGAAAGACCCAAGCAAATATAATGCACCACTTTTAGCTTCTATTTCCAGTGAGATGAGCTTTGAAGATCCTTGGTTGAAGCGCGTTGTGGAGGAGGGGAGGTGCAGGGAGCGTGTGTGTGAAGTGAGGCCAGAGAAGAGGGACGTGGAGTATTCAAAAAGTCAAGCGATAGCTGCGACCGGAGACCACCACAGCTTCTACAGGGATGGTAAGCGGGGTTGGACTGGGATAATAAATCAGACTGCCATTGGGAACAGACCAAGCATACTAGAACTGCTTTTTAATCAATGTTCTTTGTCATTTGTCATTTTTCCATCACCAGGTGGGGACCATGGCAGCTCTAGTTCAGGTGGTGAGATCGTGTCGTCTCCAGATTCCTTTACGAGGTTGGTGGATGGCTGTGAGATGGTGGCCGTTGTTGCCCAGGGAGAATGTTCGACGAGTATCTACAGCTCGGATATCCACCGCACTGCCAGTCTTCCCCGTGGCTGGCACCGCCTCAACCGCCACGATGGCTTGGACAACGGAAACGAGTACCGCAGTCTCGGTGTCACGACTTCAACTCCCTGCAGTCCTCGAGCCACACTCGACCGCCGGGGATCTGCCGGAAAACTAGGCTTCATCTCGCACAAGAAGGGGGGAATCCCACCTCTGCCGCCGATACGGAAGTCCAGCCTTGACCAGCGGAACAGGGCAGCCAGCCTTCTCCAGCAACCGTGCCACGGGGCGTCCCTCCTGGGCATCGCGGCCGATGACGCACAGATCGCCAGACAGCGAGGCGCCAGTATAGACAGCAGCAGACTCTTCAGCGCCAAATTGGAACAGCTTGCAAACAGGACCAACTCCCTCGGTCGGGTCCACGGCACCCAAAGTGGTTCCCAACACTACGACTGCTTCTCTCTGGAGAGAGGGGGGAGCGTGAGAGGGGGAGAAGTGAAGGGGGACAGCACCATGCCTCGTACCGGGCGCAGCAGCACCCGTGCCGGATCAGGATCTTCTCCCTTTGGAAACATTAGCGGTTTCAGTGGCGGCCCCGGTCCAAGCAGTGTTCCACAGTCACCTGCCAAGACCAGTGGCCAGTCCAAAATATCAGCAGTCAGTAAGCTTCTAATGACCAGTAGTCCCAAGGCCCGGAGTCTGTCTTCATCCAGCACCAAGACCCTGAGCTTCTCCACCAAGTCCTTAAGCCAAGCTTCCAGCCGCAGCTCCAGCCTTCCTCCTAATGGAAAGGTGAGGAGGACATTTTAAAACAGCAATAGAATAAATGACTCATCAGAAAAAACTAGATGAACCGCCCAGTTTTTGCTCAATAATGTAATGTAAATAAGTCATCATGGCCTCCATTTCTCCTTACATTCACGTAAGTAATGGGTCTGTTTCCTCAGACCCAGAGCTCAGTTCAAGGACCTCTGCAGCAGCCGGCACCTTCCCCTGGGTCCTGGTCTACCCAATCTTTGAGCCGCAGTCGAGGGGGAAACCTGGCTGCCAAGCTGCCTCTCCGCGCCGTCAACGGTCGAATTTCAGAGCTCCTCCAGGGAAGTGCAGGCTCCCGTTCCAGAGGTCTCGCCCAGGGAGGAGGCACAGATCCAGCAGAGGAAAGAGGAGTTGGAGGGGCAAGGTTAGTCATTTTACATTTCAGGCATTTAGTAGCACATCCCAAACAACTTAAAAAAGGACAATATGAATTGAGTTCATTACATGACAATGAATATGAAGCACAGGCAGTTTTGATGCAGTGGTATAATCTGTTCACTGGTTTAACGATTTCATCCTATTGTCCTGCTCTCAGTGGAGGAGGAACTGTTGCAGGTGGTGATGGTAGTGGAGGTGGTGGTGGAACTGGTCAGGGTGAGGAGAGGACAGCAGTAGTTCAAACACTGCCGTCACCCTACAGCAAGATCACAGCTCCCAGAAAGGCACACCGCTGCAGCAGCGGCCATGCCAGTGACAACAGGCATGATCCCAATTTCACTGAGAAATGTCAACATTTTTGCTGCTCACAATTCAATCTAAAAAAAATTTGTATTCTAACTAACTGCGAACTTATTGTCCCTCCAACAGCAGCGTACTGAGTGGGGAGCTCCCTCCGGCGATGGGGAAGACGGCCTTGTTTTACCACAGTGGAGGCAGCAGTGGCTATGAGAGCATGCTGAGAGACAGCAGCGAGAACACAGGAAGCACCTCCTCCGCCCAGGACTCCCTCAGTGAGCACAGCTCAGCCACCACCTCCTCCAGACGGAGCTCCAAGAGCAGCAAGAAGAGCAGGAGCAACACAGGTCTCAACCAAGCCTTTAAATATTTCTGAAATGACATAGTCACATAATTGGATTATGGATTATCATCGTGGTTAATAAGAAATGGGAAAATACATTTTGGAGGTCAGCTTACCTGTAGTTCATAAAGGGGAAGTTTCAGTGCTTTCTGTTGTAAGTATTCATCTTCTGCCCACATTCAGAGCATATATCTAGACCTTAAAAGCATTTAAAATAATCTTTGCATTTTGAAATCGAAAAATACAAAAAAATTTAAAAGCTTTATTTAAATGTGATTAGGAGACTGAAAAAGGCTTTTAAAACAAAATAAAAACTAAGAAATGAAGGATTAACAGAAACAATAATAAATACATTATGAGGAGAATTCTTTGGTGAAAAGGAATAATAAGAAAGCTCTGAACGTGTTGAGGAAAAGCGTGCAAAGCTGTGTCTGCAGAAGGAGTTAGCAGGTAGGAAAGGTGACCCTGACCACTCATCTGTGAAATAGTAAAGGGAATCTGCTGCTGTGGGCTATAATGAATATAGATATTCACCAGCAGCACACAGAAAGGCTGCTAATGTGCCGGCCAAATTACACTCTACTGGTTAACCACAAGGATGGATATGTGCATAAAATCAGATTGGACAAGGGCAACTCTTCCTGATTAATAATTTAAATTGGAGTAACCATTCCCATACATGACTATGCAGCCTCATCTTCTGCCATTAAGTTTAAAGATTTAAAAAGGATGGATGTCCCACAGACAATGTGGGAAGATGTTACTGCGACCGAAATCTGAATCAAATCTCCTGTGGACTCTCCCTTTGTGTTTGATTTCCATTAGATAGGATTCATTAACTATAAATAAAATATTATTCCATGTCTCTACTTCCTCAGCTTTCATCATCTATTCCTCTCCCTCCCTGCACCTTCTCCCCCCTGCGGACCCGTACTCTTTATCTGTCCTCTTATAATCCGCTCCCTACTACGTGATAAAATACTAATGTCTCTGCTTGACCTTCCTGTGCCACAACGAGACCAAGAGACAGCTGCAACCTTATTAAAATCCCCACTCTCTCCCTCCTCTGCCACTCACTCACTTTATCTCTCCGCTCCTAGTGAATCAGATCACTCTCAGTCCTACACGGCTGCCAATTTCTATGCAAAGCGAGTGTGAATGTGTGCGTTCGTTCAGATGTGGCCATCAGATCAGACAGTGACCTGCAGGTCTTATCTGTGAGCTTTATCAGCAGAGACTAAACTTTTTAACTGATCACACTCCATTATCTGGTCTTCGTTCCCTTTCTGATTTTTCAATCGCTCGTCCTTTGTCCTTTCCTTCTGTCCCTCTTCAGTGGTTGATCCGTGTGTCTTTGATCAACACCCACACGATCTTCTTCCTCAGCTTACACTATGGTGCTTTTATATCTATCTTCCTGTTTTCCCCAGTCAGTGACTCACTCTGATGCAAATGGTGAAAGGTGAACAACTAGAGGTTCCCTGTTGAGAGACTGTCTTTATTCTATGGCCTTAGATATCTTAACACTTGCGCAGCTGAAAACATGTTTTTTTTATCTGCATTTCATCCTGAATCTTCCTTTGTGACCTCTAGCCTTGTAATGTTAAATGTAAGACATAGTTAGTTTTCATAGTGACAAATACATTTGACGAAGAGAGCCACTGACAAAATCCACAATTTTCTACATCGCATCACTTGTAGAACCATTTAAGACGAGTAAATAGTAGTGTTAGAATAAGCAATCAATAAACTCTGGCGGTGTGTAACTCTCTCTTTTTGTCCTCATCTTGTTTTTCTTTTCAGGCCTGCAGCGTCGTCGCCTGATCCCCGCACTGACCTTGGACTCTTCCTCTTCTTCACCGTCTCACCGCTCCTCCAAACAGGCCATCACCTCCTCTTCCTCCTCTTCCTCCAGTCCGGGTGCATGCTGGGTAGATGGTCCACTGGGGCCACCGACTCCCTCGAACCTCCGCGGCGCGACCGCAACGACAGAAACCTTTGAGATAAAGGTGTATGAGATAGATGATGTTGAGCGACTGCAGAAGAGGAGAGACAAAGGAGGAAGCAAGGTGAGACGGGGAGGGAGGGAAGCAGCCAAAATATTTTGCCAATATGCAGATGAACCTCAGGTTTTTTCCCCGGCTGCACAGCTACAGGAGCATGTGAGTCCTTGAGAATTACAAATACGGCAGGTACAGATCAGATTATTTTACCCGTGGAGATTGGGGAATTCCAATCTCATTCACATCCAGTGGGGACATTTAGAAGCAATGTATGCTTTTATTGAATGGCTTCACAATTTCACCAATAAAGCCAATAACGCTGATTCTGACTCTGAAAGAAGGAGGAGGAGAGGGCGACAGCGTGGAAGTGGGGTTCAGATAAAGCATTTAGGGGTTAAAGAAAGAGAAAGTGTCTGAGGAGAATGTACTGTTTGGCGGTCGGTTGAAGGAGAATGAAGAATGGACGTGTGGAGAGAATTAAAGAAGGTGGAGAGGCGAAGAGAAAGAGGCCCAGAGGCAGGAGCCATATTGCAGTAGATGTCAAAGAAATACTTTTGGGACACACTAAAAAGCAATATGTGTCCTAGTTGGGTACAGCTGCAAGAGGAAGAAGACGTGAGTTACTGTATAGTAGGAATTAATGTGCAAAGAGACAAAGGATTCTCACAAAAGGAATGAATCAACTTTTGCGTGCGTATTGTGTAAATAGTGAGTTTAGAAAAAAATCTACTGTTTCTATCGGTGTTATTTCATTTGATAAACTAAAGATCGCTTTAATGTAAAACTGATGATTACAAATAAATGCACAGAGCAGGTTTCCATGTTCCCACTCTCAAACCTTTATGTATTCAGGGGAGGGAGCTCTGTGAGCTTTGGCTTCGAGTGTGGGAGATAAAAGCATGAAATATAGATTATTCTTACAGCAGGCCCCAAGAAAGCCACTTAACCGCCGACCGCTGCAGTGAAGCTGCTCAGTGTCCGAAAGCACTCGACTGTGTTCACAGAGAAGGGTCGATGAGGTGTGAACGTATGCATCTGTGTGAGTGTGAATCAGCCTGCTGCTGAAAGACAGCCACATGTGTTTCACAACACAGTCCTCCAGATAAATAAAAGGCCTCTCTGTCCACCCTGTGTGTGTGTGTGTGTGTGTGTGTGTGTGTCTGTGTGTGTGTGTGCGTATGTGTGTGTGTGTGTGTGTCAGGAGGTGGTGCATGTCAACGCCAAGCTCCGTCTGCTGGAACACCGTCAACAGAGAATCACTGAAGTCAGAGCCAAGTACCAGTGTCTGAAGAAGGAGCTGGAGCAAACCAAACAGCACCTGATGCTGGAGCCGCACAAATGGACCACCGAGTGTAAGTAGAACTGTGACACATCAGGGAGTGTGTGTGTGTGTGTGTGTGTGTGTGGTCATGTATTGTACACTAAATGTTCTCACTGGGTTATGAGAGGATTAACTGGATATATTATCCTTATCATAAGTTATCATGGCTTAGGTTTCTTGCCATGTAAGAACGCCCACATATTCAGAGTCTATAGGATCTTCATCCAAAGGCTTTGTTTTTGAATTTCGAAAAGTTATTAAGAAGTATTGTTCACATCCATTCTTTAAATACATGTTGTCTAAAATGAATGCATCTAAAAGTGGAGTGTGTAGCATTTGCCGAGTGTGTAAGCTAAAATACAAAAAGGTAGAAGATCCAATCTATAGCCGTTTGTCTGTTCTGGGCTACTGGAGAAACACAGTGGCCGGTTCTATATGTAGATATAAGTGGGATATTTTACGCTAATAAGAAAGGAAAGACAACATGCTTTTCAATAATATATTCCATTTCTGGAAATAAATCCCCCTATTGCTACACACTGGATATTTGTTTGGATACAGAATGGCCCAAACCTGCATACAATCAATGAATCACAAGTTTTGGGGCTTTTCAATCAAATTTGCTGACAACAACATAAAGATTATACAATGGGTTGTGTGCTCATAAACCAATTTAATAGTTATAGATAAGTTTGTCATCTTTTGCCTGTCGGTCTCTTTTCAGTTGAGCTACAACAGGCCTACGAAGTGGACTCACTGGAATATTTGGAGGCTTTGGAGACAGTGACGGAAAAACTGGAGAACCGAGTCAACTTCTGCAAAGCTCACCTCATGATGATCACCTGCTTCGACGTGTCCTCAAGGCACCGGTAGACAGATGGCCAGCTGGAGGCCAGCAGAGGCAGAACCTCAGCTGGACTCAGTTAGATGACGACCTTTGGACCATTATGCCCACAGATTAAATCAAAAACCAACCAAATATCTCCTAAAAAAATACATCCCATCAGATGTTGTGGATAATTGCAAGGGGTGATACAGGGATGACTGGCCACTCGATCCTGCATGTCTCCTCCAGATGTTAGTAGGTAGAAGGACAGGCGGACGCAGGGATGGAGGGATGAAAAAGAGGATGGATATACATGAATCAGGCCAGAAGACAGATGAGACCCTGTTGTATTTCTTGGGGATTGAAGACAACCTCAGACAGCGATATTGAGCAGCATCTAATGGACGGGCCACTTAAAATCAGATGAATGTCGCCGCTCGGAGATGCAGACTGACGGTGTGAGTCTGAGAAGAAACACCAACAACATCAATAATAGAGGGGTTTCCAGAGACTAACAAAAATGAACCCGCTCACACAGCTCTAAGACGGAGTCATTTCGGAATGTCGAGAAGAAAGGAGCGGAAAGTCGAACAAAGACTGCCCATTTTCGCTCAAAAAAAGAGAAAGAAGAGGTGCAGGAGAGGAGAGAAACAATTTGGCATCTCCCACCATTTTAGAAAAGCACTTTTAAGCGTTAAATACAGAGTGCCGACAACAGAACGGCCTGGTATTGTTGTGCAGTTATTAAAAGAAACTGACCAAGAGAAAGACAGGACGACAAAGGAAAAATGATTTAGACAAGTGCCTTGTAAACATTTCAACAATACCAAGACCAATTCTCTTTCTCTCTACAATGCAGTTAGTTTGGTGCTAGCGTAGAAAAAAAACATAGAAGATCAGTGTCCTTGGGAAACCTTTGAATTTATAGCCATTTTTGACTGTGATGTTTTATTGTGGGTCAATGTTTCACTATATCATAGACAAAGTAATACTGTATGTTGAGACTCGATTTAAACTAAATTAAAAAAGTTAATGGATCAAGTCCTCTGAAAAACAGCAAAAGTGTTGCAAGGACCAAATATCCAATTTTTAAAAAACGTACATGATTTTTCAAGAAAACAAGAGTAACGGGTGTTTAAACAAAGGCAAAAACGCCCTTTTTTTGTGGTGATGTTTTTGACTCAAACCACAGAGCACCTGAATCTGAGCATCTGAACTGTGATGCTCAGCGTCTCACACACACACACACACACACACAGCATGTTTCTCCTGATACAGATGTGATGGCTTTTCCATGGTTCACACAGAAGTGGAAATGAAAATGTGTTGACCTGACTGTCAGACCGACTGACAGACAGACTGTTATTTGTATCCGTGTTGTTCTGCTTTGTTCTAAAAAAAAAAGAAAAAAAAGACTGATTTGTCAACGTGTGTGTTTTATATTACGGTATCCTTTTTTTATTTGAGTCCAATGGGACCATGTGGAGACTATGTACGATAGCAAGAGAATGCAAGTGGTTAAAGAGATGTTTGAGGGGAAATTCTGAGCAACACACAACACACAGTCACGAGATGAGCCCATTGATTGACAGTGTTAAATGCCCTTTTTAAAGGCCTGCGTTATTGGAAACATGTAGTGAATTTAGACTCAAAATGCACACGATAAAGGAAGAATTGAAAAAGATATATAAAGTAAAGAAAGAAAGAAATGGATAATGGCCAAATTAAGAGGCATAGGTCTCTGCCTGGTTCCATTTTGTTTTGGAAGATTTGTTAATATTACTATATGGTGCTTGAGATGTTTATGATCTAAATGTTTGTACAAATATAAATATATGAAAGAGCCTGTTTCCTTCTAAAACACAGAATACCCCCTTTGAATGCTTCTTCTACATCACTATCATCACATCTGTTGCCCCCCCCCCCCCCCCCCCCACCCGAATGGTTCTTTTCCTTTGGGAAGAATCTTTTATGGGAGGTTGAGGTTGGAGAGGAAAAAAAGAACTTTCGAGGAGGGTGGGGGACTCTCCAAAACGAACAAAGTAGAGACTATTGAACGCACTTTTTTTGAACCTTCTCGCCTCCCAAATTTTATTTTTAATATTTTGGATCCCAACAGGACGCGGTACGGAGGGCAGAGATCTTCTCTTTCTGAGGGGGGGTAAACCCCGAGAGACAGCAAAAACACATCTAGTGGGGAAAATTAGACCGTCAAAAAGTAGAATCTTTTTGTACACATCGAAGCTAAAAGAGAAGGTTCAACCGCCACCCCCCGCCACCAACCCCACCCGTTTTTTTTTTT